CAACCTCAAGGTCAAGAGTCACAGGCTATACCGACTGAGCCAGCCAGGCACCCCAAGAAGCGCTTACTTGCAGCCAGGTCCTTGTGCTGTCCACAGCGCGCCATTCTGAAAGGCATTGAAAGGCGTTAAAAGGCGAGAAGGTGCAGAGGTTCATTTTGAGTCCACGCACTGGGTACCTGTGAAGAACTTGAAGGCTGATGTCAGCCGTCACCTGTGACCTTGCTCCCTGGCTTACTCTAGCAGTGCCCGGGTCTCCTCTGTTGTGCCCCCACAACAATTTGGTCAGAGGTCCCTCTTTCCATGGCAAACTTCTCAAGGGCAGAGACAAATGGGGACTTCCCCTGAACAGCCCCAGACAAGCAGCCCACACCTCAGAGAGATGTCCTTCTACTAATTATGTACTAACAGGATTAAAATGCAATGCTTCTCTCTATCACATTAGTTTGGTAGACCTCTGGGTTCAAAAGCAATTTGTTCATACTGGGAAGAAATCAGGTTGGGAAAAATTAAAAATAATAATTAAAGACACTGCACCTCATAGCAGTCTCTCTACAGATGATTCACCATAGCATTCCTGGTGAATGTGTTCCAAGTGCACACCCATTATGAACCAACAATCTGGGCTGGTCACTAAATGTCCTAGAACCCCAAAGCCAAGAGGGCTTTTGCGAGCCCCTGGGTTCCTGACAGACACAAAAACTGTGGCAAAGAGCATGAGCCTTAGAGTCAAGTGTCCCTGCTTCAAGCCCAGCCTGGCCTCTAACGGTGGGAACTTGGGCAGCCATCCTAAGCTCTTTAAGCCTTACTTTCCATATCTGCAAAATGGGAATAATAACACATTCCACATAGGATCACTGTGAGGACTCAGTGTAATTGTAAGTACAATGTATATAACAGAGTATCTAGAACACAATGCTCAACAGTGTTCACTATGTTTGTTGTTATAATAATGTATCAATATCTGCAAGGATGGGGGCCTCCTTAGCAGCGTCACCAACATCCCTACAATGTAGAGTGTGATTACCTCTATGGAAATGGGCAGGAAACACAGCAGCTTACCCAGGGTCGCAGCTGAGTACACAAAAGAAAAATCAGTTGCCATTCATCTTTCGTTCGTGTTGAATGTTTAGCCCATACAGGAAATATTTCTTATGTACTGAGTTTCCTTAGCATTTTTCTTTGAGAGTCTTTTTATTTTTATTTTTTAATGTTTATTTTATTTATTTATTTATTTTTTGAGAGAGAGAGACAGAGTGTGAACAGGAGAGGGTCAGGGAGGCAGACACAGAATACAAAGCAGGCTCCAGGCTCTGATCTGTCAGCACAGAGCCTGATGCGGGGCTCAAACCCATGGACCGTGAGATCATGGCCTCATCCAAAGTCAGATGCTCAACCAACTAAGCCAAACAGGCATCCCTTTTGAGCATGTTTTTAAAAAGCAATTTACGGACACCTGGGTGACTCAGCCAATTAAGCGTCTCACTTTGGCTCAGGTCATGATCTCACAGTTTGTGAGTTCGAACCTCATGTCGGCTCTGTGCTGACAGCTCAGAGCCTGGAGCCTGCTTCAGATTCTGGGTCTCCCCCTCTCTCTGTCCCTCCCCTGCTCATGCTCTGTCTCTCTCTGTCTCTCAATAATAAATAAACATTAAAAATTTTTAAAAAGCAATTTAGAATAATATAGTCCTAGACTTAAGAGGGGAATGTCCATAGAAGTCATATAGCCCAACTTTTTTCCAATTTGGCAAATCGTTTTAGAAGCGTCCCCTAACCCCACCACTGGCAAAGAGTGAATCAGCTTATGCTCAGATAACGGAGCCACGGGGAGCTCACAGCATCGGGAGACAGCCCTTAGAAGTGACCACCACCCTATTTATGATCAGCTCTTTCCTCTGAACACCATCAGCATCTACATCAAAAACCTCCACTCAGTGGGTCAAGCCTCTAGGTCTCATGAGAGCTGAGCCCAGGTTCCTGGTTCCCTAGTTCCCCCACAGGACCCAGCACAGCACCTTAGAACCTTGCAGGCAAGCAAGAGGTATTTGTTGGATGGATGGATGGATGGATGGATGGATGGATGGATGGGTGGATGGATGGATGAAAGGAAGGAAGTAATGTCCTCTCTGAGTGCTATAGAATGAGATATGTATACTTATCCCACTATCGTGCTATGGCTTAGAGTTCAAATCATGTAACAATGCTTTTTATCTAAATTAAAGATTTAGGGAGATTTCAAATAAAACAGTTATAGAACTGTAACTATTCTGTAACCCCTATAAACTATCCCAGGCCTGAGTGTCAGAAATCAACCCTACTTTAAAGTGAATTGCACACTGATGATGGCGGTATGGGTAGCGGTCAGACAAAAACCAGCCTCATTCCATTTCAAACATTAAGACTTACACATGCCTTGGGCATAATTACTAAGAGCTGCGTTCACTCCCAAATTTCGGTTTCTTTTCTTTAACTTGTAATAATTTATAGCCTATCCTCTATTTTGAACTTAAGAAAATGCCTAAGACCTTGCTAGAAATGTATGGAATTCTGAATTGGTCACAAGGACAGACTTTTGACAGAATCTGCTTATGCTTTCCCCAAATGTGCATTTGCTCATGGACAACATAGTCTCTTTCTCAGACTAAGTCACCGGATTTATTAAGTATTGTATCTAAGAAGAACAAGATTGTCAACAGTGTCTGTATCACATATAAATGAGCGCATGCACTTTTATTAACAATAAATAAGGCAAGCCACCCTGTCTCAGTTTTATTAGGCCATATCTTGCATTGTTTCTTTTCTCTTCTGCAGAATTTCATTTGCTACAAGTTTCAAGTGCCCAATGACTGATTTATTGTTTTCTTCACAGGAGGAGGGGAGAAGCATTAGGTACCTGGTACCCAGCAAAAGCCGGGACGGCAGAGTTATCAGTGGAATGCCTCAAAGTGACAAAGGGCTAGATGAGGGGTTCCTTGCTGGTACAACCAGGTCACAAGCCTAAGAAGGCTTGACGGGTGCGGCTGGCTCCCTCCCCAGGGCCCGCTCTGTTTCCGATCTGGGCTTTGCTTCTCCTGGCTCTCTGCAGGACCTCAGTCTCCAGGAATTTGGACCGAGTGGTAGAGACATCGCCGGCAGAGACGGCAACTGCCAGCTTCCTCCCTGCTCTGTCTTGTGATTCAAAGCAGACTCTGCTCCACTTTTTAAAAAGGGGAGCACGTTAATGCGGGAGACCCACAAGAACAGAGTCAAGCAAGGAGACACAACAGTCGGATGCAAGAGTCCGTGAGTAAGCATGGTGACCATGGCGGGCAGGGATGTGGTCACGGGGAGCCCAGGGGCATACGGGTTGACGGCTCAGTGTCCTTGTGGGAGGTCACAGGAGCTGCAAGAACACTGGTACTAGGTCATTTCACCAATGACCCTGGGCTGGGACCTGCCACCTCCAGACACATACACAGAAAGACACCCCCCCACACACACACATCCCACCCCTACAATACCATCCAAACACTGCATTGGTGCTTGGCTGCAGGAAAAGTCAGTGAAGAGAGGAAGTTTTTCCACCTTGCACTTTTATCTGATGTAAACGCCATGGAGCCCAGTGGTCTTATTTGCAAACTTCTCATAGGAAGTGACTCTGGACTAGGCTTCTCTCACGCCAATCCTGTCTGATACCAAAGTTAGACAACTTAGCAAAAATTGTTGCAGGCTGCTGTACGCATGGCATAGTCATTGAAAGCACCTTGACCTTTGTCTTCTTTGCATTAATTTCCAGCTAATGCTCTCTTCCTTGGAGAGGTGCCTTTCCTTAGCAGGAGCAATACTGGTATAACTCTGCTCTCCGCAAAAGTGCTCTTATTGTATAAGAATAGTTCACATCACAACAATTCGGATATTATAAGTACAATTACGTCATGTATCAATATTTTCATATGCATTTATAGTCTTAGGGTTTAATATACCACTCACGGAAGACCTGGGCTTGAGTCATGTGCTTTCCTCATGTGTTTTCTTTCTTTTTTTTTTTTTAATATAGTGAATCAACAATTCTATCACAAGTGCACTCCTTAATCTCCATCACCAATTTAACCCATCCCGCCACCCATCTCCCCTCTGGTAACCCTCAGTTCTCTATAGTTAAGAATCTGTTTCTTGGTTTGCCTCTCTCTGTTTTCCTTTGCTTGCTTGTTTGTTTTTTCTTAAATGCCACAAGAGTGAAATGATATGGTATTTGTCTTTCTCTGACTTATTTCGCATATCATAATACTTTATAGCTCCATCCACATCATTGCAAATGGCAATAATTCATTCTTTTTTATGGCTGAGTAATATTCCATTGTGTGGTATGTGTGCGTGTGTGTGTGTGTGTGTGTGTACCACATCTTCTTTATCCATTCATCAATTGATGGGCACTTGCCCATGTGTTTTCTTAAATGGTTCACTAAGGGCCCTAAACCTCATCCTCTATGCATTTAAAATACAGTGACAGCCACCTTGTAAGATTGTTGTAATGATTAACTGAGAAAATACAAAGTCTTTTGTAACATACTGTTTACTTTTTTATTTTTGTTGATTATTATTATTCATATTATTATTATTTTGTTGATTATTATTATTCATAATAGACACGGCACAGCTATAAGCTGGCTAAATACCAAGAAATACGAGTTGAATGAACTTCTTACATTTCTCTTCCAACCCAATGGTTTGTTTCTGACCAGACCAGGACCTTGCCCAAGGTCATAGCTTTAGTGAGTGACAAAGAACACTAAAATCCTTCCAACTCACGGTTTGGCTTCATGGCACATATTTCTAATGCGGACACGACAGGACCCAGTAAAGCAGCGGGCGAGGGATGGGCCGGGGTGGTGAGCAGGACCGCTGTGGGCACACCTCCCGCAGCCATGGCCAGCCCTGAACACAGAACAGTTCTTCGCAGGATGGAACTGTCTGCCTCACCCTGCCTCTCCTCCCCCTGCATGACAGGAAGATTCCCCGCCTCCATGTGGCCGGCCCTGTTCACGCTCTTCCTGCTGCACACCTGCCTCCACGGAGGACGGGGTGACCTCCGCGAGGACCTGACCTTGCTGAAGACCAAGCTTGCGCTCCGCCTCTACCTGGGTGCGGCAGCCCCGGGAAATGAAAGCAACGTTGTCATCTCTCCTGCCGGCGTGTCCCTTGCTCTGGAGATCTTGCAGTTTGGAGCCCAAGGGAACACTGGCAAGCAGCTGGCCGAGGCCCTGGGTTACACTGTCCATGGTAAGAGGGCTGCCCGGGCCCCTGTTTGCTCTGCTGCTCTCACTCCCACTCGGGCTCCCTCAGAAGGTGGCTGGCACTGGATGACCACCCGCGGAGAAGGGTGGCCGCCTGGCGTGAATGCAGCAGACGGCATTCAAGCTTCAGACTGTGGTCCCCTTGATGATCTTTGAGCTTCTCTATCTAACCTTGGGTTCCACGCCAATTTTTCTTATATATTTTTTATACTTTTATTTATTTTTGAGAGAGACAGAGCATGAGTGAGGGGAGGGGCAGAGAGAGGGAGACATAGAATCTGAAGCAGGCTCCAGGCTCCGAGCTGTCAGCACAGAGCCCGACGTGGGGCTAGAACTCAGAGCGTGAGATCACGACCTGAGCCGAAGTCGGACACTTAACCGACTGAGCCACCCAGGGGCCCCTCTATGGCAATTTTTCAATTTCATGTCACAAGCCCTTTGGCTACTGGGTGCCTACCAGGTGTCAGGAAGTGTCTGAAGCACCTCAAAAGTAGAGATTTAATTGTTAATGACAACAAAATTGTCATTATGTCTTCTGATGCTCATACAAACCACATACAATTGCTAGCCCTGGATATATGATGAAATTATATCATCATCCATATTTTATTTTTTTTTAAGTTTATCTTTAAAGAGAGACAGAGAGAGCAAGCGGGGGACAGGCAGAGAAAGAGGGAGAGAGAATCTCAAACAAGCTCCACACTGTCAGTGAGGAGCTTGACATGGGGCTTAACCCACAAACCTAGGGTTCAAGATTATGACTCGAGCTGAAACTAAGAGTCAGATGCTTAACCAGCGGAGCCCCCAGGCTCTCCCATCCCTATTTTAGAGATGAGTAAATAGGCACAGAGTGTTTACGTGACTTGCCCAAGGTCACACAGCTAGTAGGTTGCAGACTTGGGACTCAAGCCCAGGTTGAGGTCAGCACCCAGGGCCTCTGGCTCAGTACCTGGCCTCGGAGCCTTCCTACCAACTCCACACTAACACACAACTCATGCGCATCGCTTTTTCTTCTCTACCTTAGAATAAGATATCAATAAGGATGGGAGGTAGCACTGTATAAATCAGTATGTTCTAGGGAAGTCCAAGAATGAATACCAACACAGTGCTGTTGAGAGCTTCTTTCGAGGTGGAAGCCTTGGGGTGGCAGGTAAAGGTTAATGCTGAAGATGCCAGGCCACCATGCACCAGTCGTGCATCCCGTCCCCCACCCCATCCGTGTCCTGTCCCTGCCCAAACAACTCTCGTGACCCTGCTGGCTGGCTTGATTTTTCTGGTCAAGAATATCTCAGAAATCCATATACCCATTTAGTCTTCAGCCACATGAGATCCATGGCAGTGGGTTCATCAAATACTGCTGAGCTCCTGTTGCGTGGGCTGGTGCCAGGCTGGGACCTCAGCATCCGGATAGTAAGAAAATCTCTGAAAGCGAGCAGCTCAGCGTCATAGGAATGATGTACACAGAAATACACCCTAATGCAGCGCACTAAGTGTATTTGTTTGAAATAAATTAGCACAGGGGAGGGAATGATTTATTCCACTGGCAGATCAGAAAGACTCCTGGGAAGACAAGCCATCTGAGCTGGGCCATGAAGAACAAATCAGCATGTGAAAAAGAGACAGGCATGTCAGCTTTAAAACTGACTCACAAAAGTCAGTATTGGGAGAGAGTGAGAAATGCAAGTGTCGATATCCTACAGAGAAAGCTGATTCCAGTCAATCCTCTGTTGTCAGATATAGTCAGGGTACCCGGCTAACCGAATGTGATGATCAACAGGGTTTCCGTAGACCCCACTGGAGAATTACCACATGTTTAGGACACTTAACAGTCAAACTCTGTGGAACACAATCCCACCCTTTTTCTTACGCATAAGCTGCTTTATTATTTTATAGAACCATGGTTCGTTATTATGAACAGGGATGTGCAACTTACAGAGTTCCGGTTAATAAAGTATTTGCCCCAATGTAGCTCAGAGAATCATGTGCACTGTTTAAAACAACCCAGCAGCGCCCACTACCCACCCAGCCTCAGTCTCCCTTTCGAAAGACAATACAAGCCAATACAGTGTATAAAAAGCAGCATCAAGAGTAATGCCAGGGTCTTGAGGCTGCATTCTGGTTTAACCGACAGGAAGACCTATCCATATTTGTGTGGGACGCATCAGCATCGTCTTGTCCTCCCTGAATTTCCAGCCAATACGTGACAACCAGGAGCTTTGCTAGAATTTCCACCTGCTCGTCACACAGGCACAGCATGAGCCTTGGAACAGACCCCAGTAGAATCCACAAAGATCACCTTCACTGTCACCACGCGAAATGCAATTTCCTGATGTTCCAAGTTCTAAGGAGTTCTGATGCTTTCCTAGGCAAATTGATAAGGAACACTTTATAGCTTTCTGTTAAGCATAAGAATAATGCTAGGAACAGAGCCCTCAGAAATGGAGGTGGCCTGGCTCTTGGGAAAGAGTTCTGTTTGATGATAATATGGATTTCACTCTTAGAGTCAATATGGCATTTGATCCTCATAGAAACCACATGCATTAATAACCCCCACTTTTAGGAGACAAGAGGTTAATGATTTGGCAAGACTTGGCAGGTGGCAGAGCCAGGATTCTGACCCCAAATCCCATGTTCTTTCCACAATTCCTTCATCCTACTCAAGTCACTGAGCAGAAGCATAAAGATGTAAGGATGTTGCCTCTTCTATTTTTCACCAGAGACGCCCTCATTATTCCCGCGACCCAACCAAACCCTCTGACATCGTCCTCAACGTAGCCCTCTCTTGATTCTGAGGCAGGTAAAACATCAGCATCACTAAGTTGGTACTTTGAGATTTTTATATTCATTAGCCTTACAAAGTCAGGACCCACCAGATTCAGTGTCACGTTCGGGAAGCTCAGTTCAACACATTGATTCAAAAGGAAGGCACTCTCCACACTGGTCTCACAAATGAGGTAAAAGGCTCAGCCGCAGCAAGAGAAATTCATGGGAAATTTTCCTGTCTCCTTCTAGCACTTTCCTCCCACTCTACGCCCATCCCAGGGAACTTCTCCTCACCCCTCCACACCACCCTGAGGACAGTGCCCAGGGGTTTTCTTCCTTCTGCTTCCTTCCCTCCCAGACCATTCCCTAAGATCTACCTCTCCAGCCCTCCAGCAAGACAGACACTCTCTGGAGGAGGAGGGAGAGGAATTACGCCAGCAGTGACAGGGTCTTCTTTCCAAGGCTGCAGGGGAGGAGCAGCCTCTCATCCCTCACATCAGACCATTTTGCCCCATCAGGACAGGAATGTGGGAAACTCACAGTAATACGGCAACACGGGAGGCTCTGTACTCCCGAGCCTCACAAGAGGAAGTGCCTCCAGAGCGTGGAGCAGTGTCCTGTCCTTCACCTGTGGGCAGGAGGGCAGTGAAGTGCCACCTCCCACAGCCTGGGGACACTGAGCAAGCTCATTAATCATAGATCCCGTCTATAAAAGGGGATCACGATAGCACGGAATTCACAGGGTTGTTGAGTGGATCAAACGGGCTGCTGAACGCGGTGCAGGGTCTGTGAACACCGTCGGTATGGCTTCCATTGCCGAGGTATATCCCTGCAGCATCTAGAAGAGCTTTTGCTATGTGTAAATGGGCAGGGACAAAGTAGGCTCAGGTGGAGAAAAGATTTCTCCAGCCAATTTTCTCTGCTGCTTTAATGTTTCCAGCTAAGAGAACAGCTGGTCCCCCGGCCCAGATTGGGTGAGAGGGCAGGAAGGAGGTCACATGCCACGGTGGACCGGTGTGACATCTCACTTTGTTCCTGCAAGATGGTCACCATTCTACAGGGATGTGATTCTATAAATACATACGACCTTCCTCGGTAGAGGAATAGCTGATAAGATGTATTATTTTCATCCATTTCCTTGCTCATTAAAATAAAAGCAATGGACTTAGGCTACAGTTCAGGAGATGTACAACCTGAGTCTGTGTTTTTACAGTTGTGGATTCTAAGAAGCAGCTTTGGTAGTGAAAGGGTTCAGGGCAGGTGAAGCCTCTCTGCAGCTGTGGTCCGCAGCCCGGTGGCGGGGCCCCTGGCCAGGGTGTATGGGGCGCATCTGTGCTCCTCCGGAGAAACTTTGCCAGGCAACCTGGGACTCTGTTGCCATCCCCTGAGCTGGCCTCTGAAACACGAAGGGTGTTGGAGTGGACGGACCCCAAGCCGTGTCAGAGATTCATTCCGACACGTGCCCCGGGAGAGCCGGGCCAGGGCCGTGCAGGAGGAAAGGGCAAAGCTTGGGGGCAGATTTGTGGATAGCCCCAGGGCTGCGCCTAAGAGGAAACAGAGGCAAGGAGGGCCAGGGAAGGGCCATGTTCCAGCGGCAGCCTGCACAGGAAGGGGACCTGACTGCTGGAAAAGTCCAGCTTCCGTGTGTCAGGGGAAAGGAGGTTGGGATACTCAGCTGTGCCCTGACTCACCGGCGGGCGAGAGGCCCTGCTCCAGCTGCAGATTTCCTCCTAGGGGAGAAGAAAAGCCACAGCTTGTAAATGATATTGTGAAAAAGAAATCCGCTATTGATTACGAAGAGAAGGAAGCAATATCCTGTGCGAGTAGTAAATCAATGGAAGTCCAGCTACCACCCAAGAAGGTGGAAACGACGGACTCTCAAACGCTTATAATTTCCTGCAACATTCTTGCAGGTCCTTGCCAACATTCATAGCATGGGCTGTTCGCTGGGTCCTAGGGAAATAGGAGATGGGAAGCATTCTTACCTTTCCTCTCCTCAAACTGAAAGCATAGTTCTAAAAGAGGCCACATCTGAATGTCCCTCAGGCTTATGACATGCAGTTGTGGGAGCAGATCTAAGGCCCTGAACAAGATATAGAGACAATTCATCTGTCATTGTTACTTAGGACATTCCTCATTAATCCATTGACTTCTTAAATATTTGAAGCGCCATCAACCTGCACACTAGACCTGCACTTTTCCCAGTTCTCTGTACTCCAGTGATCTCAACATGTCTGCCTCAGGAAGTTAAGGACTCATCTCTGGGATGTTGGGGATGTTCTTCCATTTGACTTAATCACAGCCTGATTCCTTTCTGCTCTTGCATGGCCTTCCCCCACCCCCAGCTTTTAATCTATGGATTCAGGCTAATTTCTGAGCAATTCAGTTCTGACTTATCCAAGGCGGTAGATGAAACTTGTGAAACAAGGGTGGTACCCGCTGGGGCCCCATTTCAGTGCAATGTGCCAAGAGAGGGCGCTAACTCCTTACCCACACTCACCGCTGTCCATTTATCCCAACACCTTTTTCACAGACCAAAGGGTGAAACAGTTCTTACACACTGTTTATGCCACGCTACCCAACTCCGGCCACGGCACGAAGATGGAGCTGGCCTGCACTCTTTTTGTGCAAGCAGGAACGCCTCTCTCGCCCTGCTTTGTGGAGCAGATCTCCCAGTGGGCCAACAGCAGCCTGGAGCCAGCCAGCCTCGGGGAACCCAACGGCACCAGCATCCGGGCCAATGAATGGACCTCCAGGCAGATCGCAGGTAAAAGAAACCATCCACTTCAGTGAGGCTAATTTCAGAGCGCTATAAACACAGATACCAAGCGTTGCCGGTCAGCAGTCACATGGGTGGAGACTCAGACCACCCGCAATTGCAGCAGAGCTTTGTGCTCTTGGGAGACCCTACTCCTAAGTGAAGGGCTCTATAAAGCAAGCAAAGCTGAGCTTTGGCCCTCCTCTGCCCATCCCCCACCCACCCACACAGAAGGGGGCTCTTCACCTCCAGGGGAGCCCTGCAGACTTTGTTCTATGCACCTGTTCCCCTCAGGGGCATCCCCCCGCCCCCCACCTGTCATCTACAATTAACCCCTTGTGACAGCAAAATGCAGTAGGAGCCAAAAAAAGTTCTTGGAATTTCGCTTAAGGAAATAATTCAAGAGAAGAAAAAGTTGTATGTAATAAGATGCTTAGCCCAGTGGTGTCAAAGAAAAAGACTTAGAAATAACCTAACCATCCAGCAATTAGGAAAGATCCCCTTAATTACAGCTCCTTCATATCATGCAGTTGTAACTATTAAAGGTGGGGAAATTTTACTACATTTACTGGGGTTCCATTTATTGACTTCTAGCACTTTTCCTAAGCACTTCATGTTCATTATGTCTGCTCAGGCTCACAGTTGTCCTGGGAGACAGGTGCTGTTACTGTCCCCGGTTTACAGATAGAGGAACTGAGGCATGGAGTGCTGCGCCTCCCACCCAGGGTCCACAGAGCCAGGATCCTGAGTCGGCCAGCCTGCCTCTAGCATCCCTGAAAATTACTACGGTTACACAGAAGCAGGGAGAATGTTCAAGACCCAGTGTTGTTTAAAATGCAGATAGAAGGTGATGTATACTTTATGGCTGAACTGAAAACAACATGTGCGAGGCCAAGGAGCACAGAGCTGAAATGCAAATATGAGACGTCTATTGAAAACTCGGTTTTCTCCAGTGTTTCAAAATGTCTTTTCAGTTTACTTAAAAATATTTAATTCCCTGTCTTGGCTCATTGAGCTGCTGGGTTTGGGGGCGGGGGGCGGGGGGTTGGGCAAAGCCACACAGTTAGCTGCTGCCAACCCTCTGGGGTGATTGTCCTCCCCAGAAGAGGTGTAGCCAGAAGAGCCTGAAGGTCTGGGGCCAGGCTGCTTGGGTTCAAATCCAGGGTTTCTGTCTTGAGCAGCTTGCCTCTCACAAGTATGTGGCCTGGGACAGCTTCTCTAAGCTTCAGGGCCCCCATCTGCAAAATTGGGAATAGAACTGGTAGGAGGAGTGAGCGAGGGTTTGTTCAGGCACTTAGAATAGAGCCTGGCACACAATGTTTGTTTTATTAATAAAGGGCTGGGGCAGTGGTCAGTCTGCCCACTTCTCCCTGGTAATGCATAGAATTTGAAGACCATGCCCTGGATGTTGCCGTCTAAGCAGAGGCTCTCCCAGGGATGAGGCCCGGCAGCTGGGTAGTGGGGTGTGCAGGGAGGGTGGGGGGAACACAGCGCAGCGCCCCCCCCCCCCCCCCGCAGTGCCCTGTGCGTCCCAGGAGTCCACCTGAGCAGTGCATGCCTAACGGGCCCTGGGCAACTGCAGCTTCAGACCACCCGCTCGGAAAAGGATACAAGCATGGTCTTCACCAACAGCTAGTTATAGACACCACGGCTCTGCGGGCTACAAACCCAGCTTCAGGGAGGCCCCAGCACCCTCCAGGGCAGGTGTGAGCGGTCTCAGCCGCACAGTGGCTCTCACGTTTGCAGGTGACGACCCAGGTGGCCTGACGTGGGAGCGCGGTGGTCGTGCCGCATCTGCCCAACTGGCGCTTGTGAGCACCATGTCCTTCCAAAGCACGTGGCGGCAGAGATTCTCCTCCAGGGACACTCAGCTCCTGCCTTTCACCTGTGGCCAAGGCCTCGTGCTCCAAGTCCCCATGATGTACCAAATGGCTGAGGTCAACTACGGTGAGCTCCTTCCCACCCGCGGGGCCCTCTTGTGGGGGAACATGGAAATAATGTGGGCAGGGAGAGGAGGGCCGCGTCTGTTCTAGAAGGACCTGCGGGGTTTCCCAGCCTTCCCTCTGCTGTGAGACGTGTGTGCAGTAAGGAGAGCCCGGGGGGCCCAAGGACCCAGAGAGGACAGTGAGGAAGCAGAGGAGGAAGAGAAATCCAATGTCACTCTTGACATTTCCTTCTGCACCTAGGAAGAGGGGTGAGTGTAAAACCAAATGAGTGTAAAACCAAACCTGTTTGAACGGAACCACCCCATCCCTGGCAGGCAACCCCATAAAATGAACAGCCACTTCATGGTTTGGTGCTAAGAAAGGGTAGAAGATTGAGAATCCAGTCTAGATGGCTCTTGAGAGCGCACCCACGCGGGCCTGACATCGTTTTTCCACCTTGCCTGGAAGGTCGCTCATCCTGACCCCGCGAGGGTGCAGGTGCACCGAGTTTAGGCCAGTGAATGCTGGGGGCCCCCAGCCCTGAAGGCTGGCAAGAGGTGTGGACATTGCCATGGGGCCCCCACAAGGCAAGGGGAGAAGGGACCCGGCCACCTGTTCCCAACAGCTCTCTCACAGCCTTCGTTTGCAGGCTCAGCTCTTCCAGCTGTGGGATTAATTCTGTTCTTATTCAGGGAAAAGTTGGTGAGACATAAAATAGTGTTTCAGGAACTCTGGCCCTTAGAAAACCTGCACTGTGAGTGCTCCGAGAATTTGTTTGTTTATTCTGCCAGTAATTATTAACTGAGGTCAAGTAAGAGGAGTGTACAGGAAGATCAATTGGATAATACAGATTTATGACTATAATAGTTCTTGTGCCTAATGTTTTCCATCGCTGCTGTGACTCGTGCTGGTTGATCTGTCATCCACAAAACATGTCCCAACTTTCTATAATATCTGGGTTCAGAGCTTTTGTTGAAAGAAAGATCTGGCTCAAAGAGCCTGGGCTCCCCATGGTCACAAAAGACCAGGATTGGAATGGCTTCCCATTTAAGACAGATGGCTCTCCCATGTGCCATCATCCCCACCATGTCCAGCTGCTGCAAGCCCTGTGAAGACATCGTTAGAAATCCTAGGTCCTAAGATCAGACAAAGTGATAGTTTTTGGCTTCAGACTGCTTCCTGAAGGTGAGGTAGACACCCTATTAATGAAATGTACGGTTTCCAGTTCTGTGAGCTGGCCCTTCCCAGGGCCTGGCAATGTTCACTTCCCAGCCCCTGGAACAAGACTAATGCCCCATCCATCGAACCCCAGGCCAGTTCCAGGACCCTGCAGGCCATCAGGTGGGGGTGCTGGAGCTGCCTTACCTGGGAAGTTCCATGAGTCTGCTTCTCGTTCTGCCACGTGACAAGGACACCCCGCTGAGCCACATCCAGCCACACCTCACAGCCAGCACCATCCACATGTGGACCTCCAGCCTCAGGCGAGCCAGAATGGACGTGTTCCTGCCCAGGTGGGTGGCTGTGTCATTCTTTTGGGGGCGCTCTGTAGCCTAATCTGGTTGGCCAGACCTGGATTAGAGAACCCAGATGGTCTGACTCGGGGGTCTGTCCTTAATCACTGGGCCAACTTATCTCATGTGCCCTGAGAAGTTAGGCCAAGGGAGAGTTAGTCTAGAGTTTGGGTCCAGGTCAGAGTCTCTGCTGACCGGCTTATGATGCAGACGGAACAGAATTAATTTCCTGGGGTCTTCTCAAGGGAAGATATTCTGCCTTCACTGGGCCAGACTGCAGCCCCCAGGCTTCATGCCACAACCTGTTCTCTGAGCAGAGAAAAAAGAGTTACCGTGGAGAAATGTGCCCCAAATCTTATAACATCCTAAAAGTATACAACTGTCATTTCCCCAAAACCAAAGAGGCAAGGTAGTTTATGTAAATGAGCAAATACCAATATAATTCTGATTAGAAGGCAAATTAAGGCATAAAAATTCAAGACTTTTAGTCTCTGTGCTGAAGGTCCTCATTCTTTCTAAGTAGAGGCGAGTCATTCTTCAAGAAAATCCAATAGGTACAAATACAAATTGCCAAAAAGTTAAATGATGGTTCTAGAGTTTGCTTTTCCAAAGGAAAACCTATTTGCAAAACTCATTATTTACAAAGAATTCCTTATTGAACTTCTTTAAATGGCAAGCTTCTCCAGCACATTTGAAATCAGAGTAAACGTGTAATTAACTTGTAGACCAGCGTTACGTGAGGAATGTTATCCCAGGGCTCAGTCTGTGGAGTCTTCGTGCTCCTTCCTGCTGGCTGTCGTGACCTTCTCTGTTGACCAGGCCCTCAGCAGCACTGAGCCAGAGGCCTTGGCAGAGCTCCTTCAAGGAGTTAAAAATAAGCCCAGATGCTGAAATAAAAACACACAAAGAGAGACCCAGTGAGTTAAGGGCCACGGTCTAACTGGAGATCTGGCATAACCAGAAGGTGAAAGTTATCATAACTCTATGATAAAGTTTATGTTTCTCCAAACCAAATATGTGGACCCCAAATGAAGGCACAAAGACAAGATATTTCAACAGGTCGCTCTGGGATGGAACAGAACCACCCCTCATCTCTCTGTAAAATTTGAGAGAAGCCCAGTGAAGGAAGGGAAGCTTTCAATGTTAAAAGTAGACAGACAGTGCAACCTGGTGCAGGAATCTGTCACAATCTTTTCAGAATTAGGAGACAGATGACTGGCCTCATCCCGGAGCAGCTGCTGTAAGGAAGAGGCCCCAGTAATGTGTCCCACTCCTTTGAGAGTCCTTTGCTGTCTCTGGAGCTCACAGCGTTTGAGGAATGATCCTTAAAAACCCTGAAACCAGGAAGGGGTGGGAAGGCAGAGATCGTAGTAACAGTATTAGTTAGCACTTGTTAAAAAAAAATGTTTGGTTAAAAAAGTATATTTTTTTCTCCTTAATACTATCAAGCCTGCCGTCCAAGAAGGATAGAAGGTTTTAGGAAAATGAGGCTGTTTCACAAAGCAAAACTTGCCAAACAAAGAAACCAGCTTCAAAATCTTTTAAAGAATAAATAGAGAAAGAGTTAAATTTGTAATTTAGAATTTACATCTAAATGTGGGTTATAAAACTTTGGACCATGATCAGCACAAGTCAACTTTGGGGCAGGAATTTACCTCTAGTTCCTCAAATCATTCATTCATCATTTAATATGGTCTGCTTTACAGTCAGCCTGCATTTTTCATTTAGCAAGAGTAAAAAACTTTTGGACACTGTGGGTAGTGGTGCAAATATCATGTAGCAGTGAGGTGAGTCTTTGGGTTAAGCATCACTGATAGTGTTTTCATAGATTCTGGGTGAATTATGATGTCTAGCTTCTGAAGTAATATTTTATTTATGCAGAAATGAAATAAAATGTATAGGGACAATTAGTCTTCATTGGGGACATTAGCATACCAAAAGAATAATCAAGAAAGCCAATAATGAGTGTTAACAGGGGTCATTTAATTCCATAATAATGTAAAACCCCAAAAGAAAGATTAATAGCATCCAATATATATTTGTTTAATGAATAAAACACTTGGTTATCTGGTCAACATAGTAGGAAGCTAAGCATGAGCGTTTTTTTTTCTCAGAATCGAAGTGATATATTTTTTTATTGAAGTATAATTAATGTATAGTGTTATAGTGGTTTCAGGTGTACAGTACAATGAATCAGCAATTCTGTCCACTACTCAGTGTTCATCATAAATGTACTTTTAATCCCCTTCATCTATTTCACCCGTCCCTCCCACCACTTCCCTTCTGGCAACTGCCAGCTTGTTCTCTGTATTTAAGAGTCTGGTTTTTGTGTGTGTCTCCTTTTCTCTTTGTTTGTTTGTTATAAGTATTTTAAAAACCCATCAGATCTCATCTATTCAAACATTTGGGGCTTCCTTTCAGAGAGCTACTGATCATTGTCCTGTGTGGATTGTGCTTGTCTATGGGTATTTTCTTTCTTTTTAAAAAAATTAAGATGTAGTTCACATCACCATACAATTCTTTTAAAGTGTAGAATTCAGAGATTTTTAGTATATTGGCTAAGTTGTGCAATCATCACCAGTATCAAATTCCAGCACGTTTTCATCACCTCAAAAAGAAACTCCATACCTGTTAGCAGCCACTCCATACATTCCCTCTCCTCACTAGTCCTAGGAAACACTAATCTACTTTCTCTCGATGGATTTGTCTACACTACTATACCTTTCGCATAAATGAAATCATACCACATGTGGCCCCTCTGTGTTCATCATGCTCACTTAACATGATGTCGTCAAGGTTCATACACTTATCAGAGTATGCATCAATACTTCATTCTTTTTTATGGCTGAATAATATTCCATCGTATGTCTATACCATATTTTGCTTATCCATTAATCAATTTATAGACATTTAAGAGCCTGGAAACTTTTTGCTTGTTTTCACTTTTTGAGTCCTATAAGACATTCATGTACACATTTTCGTAAGATATGTATTTTCAATGATCTTGGTTGTATACCTAGGAATGGAAATACTGGGTCATGTGTTAACTCAACACTTTACATTTTGAGGACCTACCAGACAGTTTTCCAAGGGGCTGCACCACTTGACATTCCCACCAGCAATCCAAGAGTTTCCAGTTTCTCTACACCCTTGTCAACACTTGATATTGTCCATTTTTTTTTTTTTTTTTTTTTTTTTTTTTCTGATAAGTCCCTCTTCATGGTTAATGGTACACACTTTCAGTTTGGTATGATGACAAAGTTCCAGAGGGGTGGTTGGACAGCAATGTGAATATACTCAATGCCACTGAATTATGCACTTCAAATGGTTATGTTGTCTATATTTTACTACAATTTTTTGAATTGTGGAGGGAAGGAAGGTGGGGAGAAGACAAAGACTGTCTTCCCAAATTTGGATTAAAAAGTAGGGATGTTATAAAGCTTACATTTAGGAAGTATATAGTTATTCTTAGGTACATTAGTTAGGACAACATCACCGCCTCTTCCCTCCAGCAATATCCTCCTCTGTATTTTGGCTTCTCCGTCAGGCTGGAGGCAAGATGGCTGCAACCTTTCTGGCCTCACAATGGTGTGTAACAACACCTATAGGAGAAGAAAACCCCCATCTTTTTTATGGTAGTCATCCTAGTTGATGTGAGATGGTTTCTCATTGTGACTTTCATTTGCATTTCCCTAATGACCGATGATGTCAAGCACATTGTCATCTGCTTGTTGAACATTTATATATCCCTTTTGAAGAAATATCTATTTGAATCTTTTCTCTGCTTTTAAACTGGTTGCCTTTTTATTGTTGAGTTGTAACGGTGCGTTATATATTCTGGTTATTAGTCCTTTATCAGATATATAATTTGCAAATATTTTCTCCCATTTCATGGGTTGTCTTTTCACTTTATTGAGGATGTCCTTTGAAGTACAAAGCCTTTTCATTTTAATGAAGTTCAGATAATTTATGTTTTTCTTTTGTTTCTTATGCTTCTTTTGATGTCATATCTAAGAAACCATTGTTTAACCAAGGTCACAAAGATCTATGTCTATACTTTTTCAAGGAATTTTATAGTCTTAGTTCTTATATTTAGGTCTTTGACTCATTTAGAATTAATTTTTGGGTGTATAATGAGGTGGGGGTCCAATTTCATTCTTTGCATGGGGTTATCCAGTTGTCCCAGCATCGTTTCTTTTTCTTCCAAAATTTTATTTAAATTCAAGTTAGTTAACATATAGTATAGAATCGATTTCAGGAGTAGAATTTAGTGATTCATCACTTATATATAATACCCAGTGCTCATCCCAACGAATGCTCTCCTTAATGCCCATCACCCATTTAGCTCATCCCCCCACCCACTTCCCCTCCAGAAACCCCCTGTTTGTTCTCTAAGTTAAGAGTCTCTTATGGTTTGCCTCTCTCTCTGTTTTTATCTTATTTTATTTTTCCTTCCCTTCCCCTAATGTCATCTGCTTTGTTTCTTAAATTCCACATATGAATGAAATGATACGGTATTTGTCTTTCTCTGACACTTATTTTGCTTAGCATAATACACTCTAGTTCCATCCACATCATTGCAAATGGCAAGATTTCATTCTTTTTGATGGCTGAGTAACATTCCATTGTATATATATGCCACATTTTCTTTATCCATTCATCAGTCGATGGACATATGGGCATGCTCTCTCCATAGTCTGGCTGTTGTTGATAATGCTGCTATAAACATCAGGGTGCATTTACCCCTTTGAGTCTGTATTTTTTTATCCATTGGGTAAATACCTAGAAGGGCAATTCCTATGTCCTAGCACCATTTATTGAAAAGACTATTTGTTTTCCCATTGAATTTTCTTGGTACCTTTGTTGAAATTCATTGACCATAAATGAATGGGTTTATTTCTAGATGTTCAATTCTATTCTACAGGCATAAATGTCTACACTTTACCCAATACTACTCAGTCTTGATTACTATAATGTTTAGAAATCAGGATGTATTAGTGACTCAACTTTGTTCTTATTTTTTCAAGATTGCTTTGGCTATTCTGGGTCCCATACATTTTCATATAAACTTTAGGATCAGCTTATCAGTTTCTGCCAAAAAGGTGGCTGAGATTTTGTTGATGATTGTATTTACTCTGTAGATCAGTTTGGGACTATTGCTTTCTAACAACATTAGCTATTCCAATCTGTAAATACAGGATGTTTTTCACTTTATTGGATGTTTTCTTCAGTTTCTTTCAGTTATGCTTTTTAGTTTTCAGTATACAAGTTTTACATTTCTTTTGTTAAAACTCGAAGTATTTTATTCTTTTTGATGCTATTATAAATGGGGTTTTACTTGCAGATTGTTCATTGCTAATATAAAAAAACACCATTGACTTTTGTACCCTGATCTCACATCCTGCCATCTTGACAAACTCATTTATTAGTTCTAATCTAATAGCTTTTTCTCTGGGTGTACATATTCTTTAAGATTTTCTCGTACAAGACCAAGTCATCTTTGAATAGAGATAGGTTTACTTCTTCCTTTGTAATCTGGATACATTTTGTTTCTTTTTCTCGTATAACTGCCCTGCACACCTTTCAGTACAATGTCAAAGAGAAGTGGTGGACATCCTGGCCTTGTTCCTAACCTTAGGAGGAAAGCGTTCAGCCTTTTACTATTACCGTTTAGTATGATGCTAGCTGTGAGTTTTCTGTGGAGACCTTTTCTAAGCTGAAAAGTTCCCTTCTATCCCAAGTTTACTGAGTGATTTTTGTTTTCATGAAAGGATATTGGATTTTTTTTTTACATGCTTTTCTGCATTTATTGAGATCATCATGTGGCCTTTGTCCTTTACTCTGTTAATATGGTGTTTGACATTGATTTTCATATGTTAAACCCACCTTGCATTCCTGGGGTAAATCTCAATTGGTGGGATTTATATGTTGCTGGATTCAATTTGCTAGTATTTGTTGAGGATCTTGCATCTATATTCATAAGGAATATTAGTCTAGTTTTTTTTTCTTATGATTTCATTGTCTGGTTTTGGTAAAGGGAAATTTTTCTACTCGAGATATTTTTGAAGCATTTCTTCTGGGCTGGCCTTTATAGCCATATAAGAAAAAAAAATTGGGTGCCTGGGTGGCTCAGTTGGTTGAGCATCCTCTTGATTTTGGCTCAGGTCATGATCTCATGGTTCATGAGTTCAAGCCCCATATCGGGCTCTGAGCTGATGGCACGGATCCTGCTTGCAATTCTTTCTCTCCCTCTCTCTCTGTCCCTCCCCCATTTGTACACTCATCTCTGTCTCTCTCTCTCTCAAAATAAATAAATAAACTTTAAAAAATTACTCTCACCTTTTATATTCATGCCTCACTTTTACTATTTAGTTACTAAAAATGATATTACCCAGTTTTATCAACTACCATAATCACATATTTGGCTTCAAATATCCCTTAGCTTTTACTTAATATCCCTGAGAAATACTAAAACCACAATGGTAACATTTAAGTACATGAGCTGTACTGGGTGTTGTTCTGAACACTTTATAAGAATTGTTTCACTTAATCTTCACAAAGCTAAGAACTAAGGACTACTATTATGCTCATTCACAAATGAGGAAACTGAGGCAAAGAGAGGTAAAGTAATTTGCCCCAGGTCACTCAGTCAGTAAGAAGCTGAGCTGGGATTCAGGCCCTGGCACTGACCTCCCAAGTTCATGCTCTTCACCACTGTGTTTCAGCATTAAGAGTTTTCAAAAAGGATGTGTTTTAAGCATTTAAGAAAATTTCAGAAGAGGTAATGCAAAATTTTTTTGAGAATGTCAGCATAATTGGAGAAAGCATATGTATTTTGCAGGGAAACCATTCTAAACATCCAAAACATAGATTTATGAGAAAATCTGATACTTCTGTTTAAAATATTGCCCACATTGTCTTGTATGGCAATGAAAACCTTTGCTATTAAATGGTCTTGTCCTGTATTTTTACTCTTATACAAGTTCTGGATAGTTTATAGAAAAGACCATCTAAATTCCATTTCAAACTTTTTTTTCAAAGAAAAATAACGTGAGCAATCCTTTTAAAGTCTTCTTCAGCAGTAAAATTGTAAATGCCTTGCCCTTGGAGAAATATTACAAAGTTGGTATGTTGATTCTTCCTGCTCTCAGGACTTATTAGGAAAACCAAAGCTTTAACTTGCATTCCTTCCCTCCTGTGCATCGAAGACACACACTGCACACAGCAAACACAAAAACACGTCTTACCAAATATAAATATGTTAAATGAGACACCTCATTAATTGTTGATCAGTCAACAACTTCTTTTCTGCACCTACTATGTGAGATGCCTCAGGAGATGGGAGGTAGCAGAATGTAGACTCCAAGGACATGGGCTGTGCACTCAGACAGCCTTGCTTTGACTTGAGCTCCACCACGTACTCATTATGTCATCTTGGGCAAATGTCTTAATCTCTTTAGGCTTCAGTGTTCTCACCTATAAAATGAGGATAATAATAACAACGTTATGCGAAGATGAAATTAGACAATCCACATAAAACACTTGTTATAGGGCCTAGCACAAGGTAAGTACCCATTAAATATTAGTTACTATTAGGAAATAAAAACCTGACTGTGATGGCCTCTCTTCTCAAGTCGTTCACACTAGCATAGATAACAGCAACAGGAAGCAGAATGTTCTATACATCAAAAGAGCAGAACATACCAAGTGTTAATGGAGCTATAAGGACCAAAGGACACAAAACAGCTGGAGAGGAGAGGAGGGCATTACAACTGAATTGAGCTTAGAGGAAAGGGTAGTAACTCAGACACTCAAAGGACATAGGGAAGACCTGGAAAGAACTGCAGAAGCAAAGATACAGAGGTGGGAGAGAGCCTGGTGTGGTCAGACTAGTCGGGTGTAGGGCTTATGAGAAGGAGCTATGAAATATAAAGCTGGAAATGAGGCTGGAGATCCGACTTCCAAGTTAGAGGGTTTGGCAGTCGTGTATGAAAATATTTTGAAAGAGATTTTTAAATGAAAGTTGATGGTTTGCTTTTGTTTTTTAGATTCAGGATCCAAAATCATTTCAATTTAAAGAGCATTTTAAATTCTTGGGGAGTCACCGATCTTTTTGATCCACTCAAAGCTAACTTGAAAGGAATTTCAGGTAACACTTCTTCTTTCAAGCTTTTTGGCCTTGTGCTTGGGGGCAGCTTTGTCACACTGATTAAGGGATTTTCATCTACAGAGGTTTCAATCATACCGTCAGAGTTAACATTTTTAAAAGGATAAAGAAAGAGCTTTGCTTTATATAAAAATATGTTGCTTCAGAGAACAGTCAAATTTGGGTTGACTTTGAGAGGGAGGAGGGTTGCTTGAAACCGTTAAGCGCCGTTTTGGAAGACCACCTTCAGGGCGAGGCCAGTGGCCAGAGAACACAATACAACTCACCCTCCCTCTGCCTCTCATGACTAGGAACCTGCAGGAGACAGTGGTTCAACAACAGAGGTCTTCATTCTGACCTCCCTCTGTCATGCCAGCTGCACAGTTGCCCTTCGTTTCCACCTCCCCACTGTCCCCCCCTCCTTGTATCACTTCTGGCTTCTTCTAATAAACTAACCTTGAAACTTTCCCTCAACTGTCCAACTTCCTTTCTTCAAATTACTCAGGTACCTGTAACCTTGCCTTAAAATATTCTCCCTTCCCAAAGGCCATATTAAGTTTCTTTGCTACTAGTGGACATGCTACTACTAATCAATAGGAGTTGTATTGGCTTATTGATGTGACAAGGAACTTACATCGAATACTTAAAAATAATGGAATGCCAAAACCTTATGTTCCAGAATCCTCTCAGAAACCATCAGATAAACTATTTCCAAATTCAAAGGCTCAGGTTTGTTTCAGCTCGGATACTAATAAATTATCTGTATGAAGATGATACTTCATTGGCATCTTCATTGACCTTGATACTTTCTTTGCCTGATGAGATTCAGAATCTCCATTTTAAATACTAGAACCTCATAACACAGAGTTTTCTAAAGCATTACTCAAAATCTTCTTTCTTAAGCAATCTCTCTCTCTCTCTCTCTCTCTCTCTCTCACACACACACACACACACACACACACACACAAACACAGGAATTTGGTCCACAAAAGCAGTCTTAGCTTGTGCTTTCGATGTGACCAGACAGACTAAATGGCAGTTACTTATCAAATAAAGCACAGGAGGAAGGATCTATTCTAGGGTGCTTAAAACCCACCAGCTGTGTACTCATTACCTAAACATGCAAAGAGATAAGCGAAGCAATAGTCAAGTTTGGGCACAGTGCCCCTAGCAATGCTTGGTACACAGTGGATATCCAATAGATATCGTTGACTTGGTTGAATGATTCAACCAGAAAATTTCCATTGTGACGCAGGTATAATCTGACATGTAGGGAAAAGAGGAACAGTAGAGTGACAGGATCAGAGGTCAAGGAAAGAGGAAGGGATTAAGAACTTCCATGTGCCCTATCTTTAATAATGTATAAAATGCAAGCAGTGTCTTCTTGTGACTCCAGAGCTCAGCTAGGGCATTCCTATTGTTGATGATGTTGCTATTCTTTTGATCATTCTAGTTCAAAACTCTGGGGCCATTTTTACAACACTACATTCAGTTAATCACTATGACGTTCACTGTTCCTTCATAGCCCTTAATCTCTCTGCCTTTATGTCCTGGAAGTACATCTCAAAATGCCATTAATCCATGTCCTTAAACAGAACTGAGCTTAACCCACATAATGTAGCTCCCCTATTGGCAAAGACTTCCAAGGCCCATGAGCTCTCCTGACAAGATGTAACAAGCAACCTAGTTTAAAAAGAACATTTTTGGTACCTTTCTTATAATGCAATTAAGGTCTGTGTATATTTGTTCAAACCAGCTGAAACACAGGCTCATGCATTTAAGTTGTTAAATAATTATCGAGCAGTTAGCACGTGCCAAGTGTGAAGCTTGAATTCGTATTTTTTACGTGCTAAAACCCATCAGCCTTATCTTCTCCCATAAAGTTTTGTTCCTCTAACAAGATATATCATCAAACAATTGTCCATCCCTGTTTTTATAAAGTTTTATTGAAACAGAGCCACTCCCATTTATTTACAAATCATCTATGGCTGGATTCCTGCTACAGTGCAGAATTAGGCAGTTGCAATAGACACCATATGGCCTGCAATTGCTGAACTATTTAGTATCTTGACCTTTACAGATAAAGTTTACCAACTTAAGTATTGCTTTCCTGTGCCCTTCTTTAAACGTAATCAAGAGACTAGTCACTCCTATGCTTAAGTGGGCTGTTGACTTAATTATAGAGACATGGTGACTGAATCTGTCTAACAAATAGTTTCATCATTCCTAAAATGAGGTAGCTGCCACCCATCTCCTATGTTACTTATGGAACTAAAATTCTTCAACATATAGCAAACTATCAGCAGAGAGCTTGCCAGAAAATACGTCATCAGAACATGCTGGTCTCCCTTCTTACAATTAACAAGAAGTTACCAAGTAGTTTTATACTATAGATAGAAGCTCAAACTACAAGGAACATTTGGCCTTTTCTCTCCACTTGGTTCCAATGCCCAGAATCACTTTACTCAAGTTATCCTTCCCCATTTAAAAGTCACTACTCATCTATCTTCCTTCATGGCATCAAATCCTTTATTTCTGCTGCCTGAAAAAAAACTTATTCAACTTGTGGGGATGAGCACTGGGTGTTATATGGAAACCAACTTGACAATAAACTATTTAAAAAATAAATTTAAAAAAAGCACATCATCTTAAGGCCCAACTGAGCCCAGGCTATAATTTTTCTCTCCAGACATCCTTGAAACTACATGTTATAAAGCTTTTAAGAGTAATTTCAGCTTCACTTACACTAAAGATATCAACTAGAGATATACTTCTTGAGTAATCAGAAGGATTAGAAGGCTTCGATATAAACCCGTGCTTCCTAATCCAAGAAATACCTCTTTTGCACAAACTTAAAACTTTGAAGAAACGATCTTATTCTTGACTTTTACAAATGAGTAATTAGTTTCCAATCTCTGCTCAGTAACAACTACAAGCTCCAAGTTACTACAACTTAAATGAGCAAAGCACACCTAGTTGTTTGGTTGCATTCTGAAGTGAACTGATGCCACACCAAATGACTAATGAGCACTGCAATAGGTCGTCAAGATTGTGAGACATATCCTTCTCAACTCCAGTTCCCTTCCCAAGAATACCAACTAACAACTATCCACAGACTAGTCACCACTGTGGAAATCCCAGCTCCCAGATGTGAAGCTGAAGCAAACCTCTGAACCACAGAGACCGAGAAGGACCACATTAGAAAGGTAAAAGGAGTAGCTACACTTGAACTGCATCACCCCTTCTCCAGGCTGACAGCTCTGAACCAAGAGGGCCCCTCCAGGCCTACTACAGTTTCTCCAGTGAGAAAAGAGAGCCAAGGTGGACCCCCAACTCTTCCAGTGTTGCATGACACTTCCTAGAAGGTCTACTCAGATCTTGCCTTCTGGGAATAACTAAGAATCAGATAGAGATGGGGGCAGGAGGGCAAGGCTTACATTAACCAGCTATCAAACCTTTGGAGACCATGTTCCTGCCTATAGTAGTGCCCAAGCAAAGATCTCAGCTAGCAGCAATGCCACTTACAAAGCCAGCCTGCCCCAGCTGGCAGGAGAGCTTGATTGGCAGTTCTGATTCTGCAATTAGTAGACTCTACTGCCTAGTCAATGGATCATACTACTGCTCTACTTTGAAGAAAAGCAAATTCACCACCCTGCCCAACTCCTAAGCGTAATCCATTGAGGAAGCCTGACCAGAGAACTAAGATAGCTGAGAAGCCCATCCTACAGCTGTGCTTGGGCAGAGATCCTGGCCGGCAGCCCTGCCTAACTGCTGAGCATATCCCCTACCCCCAAATAACCGGAGAGCCTGAAGAAATGACCTTGGGCAACCTTTCAGCCCAGCCCACAGTACTCCCAAGTCACAGAGCCTAGGCCACATCCCCACTCATCTTCAGGGCACAGTTGGCAGCCCCACCTGAAAATGGAGCCCAGCCAGCAGCACCATCCATTTGGGAATCAGTATGAGACTCCACTTGACCAGGAGGGATTATGGAGTCCATCCCATAACTACCCAGCTATGATGTTCAACCAGTGGCACTACTAGTCCAACCAGTCAGAGAACACAGCCTACAACCTCATTTGACCAGAGGTGACTGCAGGGTGAGTGGCTCAACATGACAGCCAGGCATAGCCAGAAGCTCCACCTAAACAAGGAGCCCACCCAGCAGTCCCACTTGAATACAGAACCCAACCAACAGTCCCACCCAATCATAGAACCCAGCCAGCAGCACCCCCGTGGCAAACTCAGAGCACACAGAGAGGCTTTGCCCCAGTAGAGATCCTGATAGGAAGCCCCACCTATGCACAAATGTTATCAGCTAGGTGGTAAAAGCCTTCATTTGCCAAAGCAAATCTATAAAGCCTAGAAAAGGAGACCAGTCACTTAAATGCACGGATACCAATACAAAGAAGCAAGAATCATGAAAAATGAGAAAAATATGACATCACCAAGAGAATTTAATAAAGCTCCAATAACTACCCTAAAGCAATGGAGATGTATGAACTGTCTGGCAAAGAATTCAGATAATCCTCTTAAAGAAGACTACAAGAACACACAGACAACTAAACAGTATTCAGAAAACAATGCATAAACACAATTAAAAGTTCAAGAAAGAAATAGATACCATCAAACAAAACAAAACAAAAAACTAAACAGAGATCCTAAAGCTGAAGAGTACAATGACCACACCAAGGAATTCAATAAAGAGCTTCAACAACAGACTGCTGAGCAGATGAAAGAATCAATGAACTAGAAGATAAGTCATTTGAAATTATCTAGTCAGAAGAGCAAAAAGAAAAAAGAATGAAAGAGTGAAGAAAGCCTGTGGGAACTGGGGACTCCACAGAAGAAAAAATATACTCATAAGGGGAATCCCAAAAAATGAGAGGTAAAAAAGAGAAAGTCTATATAAAGCAATAATGGCTGAAAACTTTCCAAACATAGGGAGAGAAATGGGGTTCCAGATTCATAATGCCCAAGGAATCCCAATAAGTCAAACCCAA